ATTAATGACCTCTTGCCTTTGACCAGTATAGTGTTATCAACAGCTCCCGGAAACGTAAGTTCTAATATTACACTAGATAGTAAACTAGAATGCTTTTCAGCCATAAACCTTGAACAATTAAATTCAATGATTCTCTCTTCTAAATCATCAACGTGTATGTTAGACCCAATTCCAACTAAGCTGTTGAAGGAAGTTTTTCCATTAATTAGCACTTATTTATTAAATATTATGAATATGTCTTTATTATCAGGCTATGTTCCACAATCATTCAAAGTAGCAGTGATAAAACCGCTTCTTCAAAAGCACAACCTCGATCCAGAGGTTTTAGCCAATTATAGACCTATTTCCAATCTTCCGTTCCTCTCAAAAATTCTTGAGAAAGCGGTCGCAAAACAGTTGTGTGATTACTTCATCATTCTGTACATTTTCATTGTTATGCGGATGATACTCAACTATATTTATCAATCAAGCCTGATGAAATTAATCATCTAAATAAAATTCAAGACTGCCTTAAGGACTTAAAAACGTGGATGACCTTAAACTTTTTGATGTTAAACACGACCAAAACTGAAGTTATTGTACTCGGCCCAAAGAATCTACGAAACAAATTATCTAAGGATATACTAACTATGGATGGCATTCATTTGGCCTCCAGTGAGACTGTAAGGAATCTTGGTGTTATATTTGATCAGGATTTATCCTTTAACGCCCACATAAAATCAATTTCAAAGACCGCCTACTTCCATCTACGTAACATTGCAAAAATCAGGCATATCTTGCCTCAAAACGATGCAGAGAAACTAGTCCATCCATTTGTTACTTCAAGGCTGGATTATTGTAACTCTTTATTATCAGGGTGTACCAAGAAGTCAGTCAAGTGGCTTCAGCTGATTAAAAATGCTGCAGCTCGTGTACTAACCAGAGTTAGGAAAAGGGACCACATTACTCCTGTTCTGGCTGCCTTACACTGGCTCCCTATAGAACACAGGATATCATTTAACATTCTTCTTCTCGCCTACAAAGCCCTTAATGGGCAGGCGCCATCTTACCTTAAAGAACTCATTATACCCTACTGTCCTACTAGGGCATTGCGTTCCAAGAATGCAGGGTTGTTGGTTGTTCCTAGAGTCTCTAAAAGTACAATGGGAGCCAGAGCCTTTTCTTATCAAGCTCCACATTTGTGGAATCAGCTTCCAGTTTGTGTTCGGGCGGCAGACACCCTATCCGTTTTTAAGAGTGCGCTTAAGACCTTCCTTTTTGATAAAGCTTATAGTTAGGGCTGATTAGATTCAGCCCCTAGTTTTGCTGATATAGGCTTAGTTTGTCGGGGGACATCTTACTTCTTCCTTCTCTCTGTCTATACCTGTGTACTCTCATGTTCCCATTAACCCAGCTTCCCCAAATGTCTTTCTTTTTGGTGTCTATATACGCCGGGATCCGGAGTCATGGATGATCCTGCGCTCCTGTGTCCTGGATCGCGAGCCCTGGATCTTGAGTCGTGGCTGTGGTCCTGGATCATAGGTCCTGGATGGATATCCTCGTGGATTCATCTTCCTATTATACACACATGCATTTCCAAACATTTGGTCTACCTATGTTGCAAATGTATTATCTTTTTAATTTACACACGGCATCTATTGCACGTCTGTCCGTCCTGGGAGAGGGATCCCTCCTCTGTTGCTCTCCCTGAGGTTTCTCCCATTTTTCCCTTTAAACTGTGGGTTTTCTTCGGAAGTTTTTCCTTGTACGATGTGAGGGTCTAAGGACAGAGGGTCTAAGGACAGAGGGTCTAAGGACAGAGGGTGTCGTATTGTCATACTGATATTTTGTACAAACTGTAAAGTCCACTGAGACAAATGTAACATTTGTGATATTGGGCTATAAATAAACATTGATTGATTGATTGATTGATTGATTGATTGATTGATTGATGGTGTTCAAGTCCAAGTAAGTCTCAAGTCTTTGCACTCAAGTCACAAGTAAGTCTCAAGTCTTTGCACTGAAGTCACAAGTAAATCTCAAGTCTTTGCGCTCAAGTCACAAGTAAGTCTCAAGTCTTTGCGCTCAAGTCACAAGTAAGTCTCAAGTCTTTGCGCTCAAGTCACAAGTAAGTCTCAAGTCTTTGCGCTCAAGGCACAAGTAAGTCTCAAGTCTTTGCGCTCAAGTCACAAGTAAGTCTCTAGTCTTTGCGCTCAAGTCACAAGTAAGTCTCAAGTCTTTGAGCTCAAGTCACAAGTAAGTCTCAAGTCTTTGCGCTCAAGTCACAAGTAAGTCTTAAGTCTTTGCACTCAAGTCACAAGTAAGTCTCAAGTCTTTGCACTCAAGTCACAAGTAAGTCTCAAGTCTTTGCACTCAAGTCATAAGTAAGTCTCAAGTCTTTGCACTCAAGTCACAAGTAAGTCTCAAGTCTTTGAGCTCAAGTCACAAGTAAGTCTCAAGTCTTTGCACTCAAGTCACAAGTAAGTCTCAAGTCTTTGCGCTCAAGTCACAAGTAAGTCTCAAGTCTTTGCACTCAAGTCACAAGTAAGTCTCAAGTCTTTGCGCTCAAGTCACAAGTAAGTCTCAAGTCTTTGCACTCAAGTCACAAGTAAGTCTCAAGTCTTTGCACTCAAGTCACAAGTAAGTCTCAAGCAGAGATGGGGACTCGAGTCTGTGACTCGGACTCGAGTCGCGCTTAAGACTTCAGACTTGACTTGGACTCCTGCTCAAAAGACTTCGGACTCGACTTGGACTCGTGTTTTGGGACTCGTGAACAATCATTGTGTTTTCTATTTTTGGCGTATTAAAGGTGGGGTAGGTGAGTTTGAGAAACCGGCTCGAGATCGCTAGAATTTGAAAATACACAACCGGAGAAAATCTGCCACTTCCTCACAGAGCCCCTCCTCCAACACACACGAACGTGCACATGACCAATGAGGGCACGAGATAAGTTTGTGCCCCGATGGAGGCTGACAGGCAGGTAGGCCATCCAGTTACTTTAGCCGGGCCGGCTATCGGGATGTTAAGAGCATTCCATGGAATATAACAACAAGTGTATCTCGAGCCGGTTTCTCAAACGTACCTACCCCACCTTTAACATTAACATCATGGTAACACCATGGCGACCGGCGGCACACCTGCAGCTGTACCGCTTGTAATTAGGTTCAACTATAAAAACTTCGAACAAAACGCCGGCGGCACCAACAAAAGGAGCGCACACTGCAAAGTCTGCAATATTAAAATCAAGGATGCTGGTGCAACAACGTCAAATGTCATCAGGCACTTGAAAACTCACCCGGAGAGGTCAGTCACATTAACGCATATGGACGGTTAGCAAACATGTTTAGCTCAGCATCAGCTATGTAATGTTAACTTAGCTTGCTACTAGCTTTGTAACTGAATATTTGAAAAGATGAGTGAATGTTTGCTTGTCACACTTGTTTGCGTTGAGTGGCGTTGACATCCAACTCTTGACATGACATAAAAAAGGTCGGTAACGTTAATCATTACGTTCCGCTGCCACCATCTACTGGCTAACGTTAAACGTAGAAAAATACATAGTTACATACATAAATACATCTGTCGGTTTATAGGCAGGTTACAGGTTTATTGTTGACCACGTAACGTTAATGTTACAGGTTTATCAGGTTACCATTACACTGGGTTTGAGTGAGAGGATAGAGGAATATGTTTATTTATAGTAGACTTAAAAGATGTCATTAGAACCCAGTGTAATTCAACAATACGGTTGCAGAGGTCAAACTGGCCAAACGGCTAGCCTAGCCTCATGTTGAAATGTTACCAGCCACTCAATAGATTGCCATTGTTATTTGTGGCTGGTGCGTGCAACATACAGAACCAGCCACTTGCATGATTTACCAGCATCTGGCTGGTAAATGGTGTTAATGGTAGATATCTCTTTTGGAACAGGTCATGTTTTAATATCACCAGTTCAGTATATTTCAGATAATATTGCAGCAATAGTTTTTTAGTTGCAAATGGCACAGAACAAATGTTTACTTTGAAGTACTTTTAACACAGTTTCCCTGCGGGGGATTCATAAAGTATTTGTGATACTGATTTCTGATTCTGAAGTGTTTTGCTTATAAGTTGTTTGCATTTAGCTAAAGTGTGATGTTTGTCCTCATATTGCAATAGCCTGTTTAAAGTGATCATATAACAAACAACTAATCAGTACTGATACTGTATGCTAATAGATATAGGAGTGATAATAATACAGTCAATGCTTTGAATGTCTTAGATATAGCTGTGCAGTATTCTTAACAGACTGGATAGCAGCAGACAATAGAAGGCTTATTACAACCAGAAGAGACATGAGACTTTTATTTTTTAGAGACTTGAGACTTGACTTGGACTCGTGACCAAAGACTTGTGAACATCTCTGGTCTCAAGTCTTTGCGCTCAAGTCCAAGTCGAGTCGCAAGTGTTTTGTGATTTTAAGATTGTTTTAATCATAAAGTGTTTTTATGTGTGATAAAGCCTCAGAATGTCTCCAACTAACTCCATGATGATGATGTGTGTGTGTGTGTGCATGTGGTGTGTGTGCGTGTGTGTGTGTGTGTGCATGTGGTGTGTGTGTGTGTGTGTGTGTGTGTGCATGTGGTGTGTGTGCGTGTGTGTGCATGTGGTGTGTGTGCGTGTGTGTGTGTGTGTGTGCATGTGGTGTGTGTGTGTGTGTGCGTGTGTGTGTGTGTGTGCGTGTGTGTGTGCATGTGGTGTGTGTGTGTGCATGTGTGGTGTGTGTGGTGTGTGTGGTGTGTGTGTGTGTGTGTGTGTGTGTGTGTGTGACGGTTGACAGCGCAGACTAAACATCTCTCAGTCTGAAGTGTAACTGACTGATGAAGGGATTATACAGAAGAGGATCATGGGAAATCTTCTCACACTGAAACTGTCTTCAGATCTCAGATTATCACTTGAACAAACTCTGTGAACGTCCTGGTACATCGTGACCTCATCACGTCACGGTGTGTGAGACTGGATGCTGTGAGACAGAAACGCGCTTATTGTTTACAATATTTATTATTTATTACACAGAAGTTGGAGCTTTTCTATTTGAAGGTGTTGAAACAGAAGAAGACTTGGTCTGGGTCGTGATCCAAAACATCCTGTAACCATGACTGTGAGAAACACATCCCACTGAGGGCTCGGAGGAGAAACCCATCACTGAGAAACACATCCCACAGAGGGCTCGGAGGAGAAACCCATCACTGAGAAACACATCCCACTGAGGGCTCGGAGGAGAAACCCATCACTATGAGAAACACATCCCACAGAGGGCTCGGAGGAGAAACCCATCACTGAGAAACACATCCCACAGAGGGCTCGGAGGAGAAACCCATCACTGAGAAACACATCCCACTGAGGGCTCGGAGGAGAAACCCATCACTATGAGAAACACATCCCACTGAGGGCTCGGAGGAGAAACCCATCACTGAGAAACACATCCCACTGAGGGCTCGGAGGAGAAACCCATCACTGAGAAACACATCCCACAGAGGGCTCGGAGGAGAAACCCATCACTGAGAAACACATCCCACAGAGGGCTCGGAGGAGAAACTAAGTCATTATTTGGGTTTTAAGTCACTATTTTGAGACACTAAGTCATTTCAAACTAAGTCTTTATTTCTCATTATTTTGACTCACAGGATATTTTTCCATCACGTTGAGGAACTGTATGAAGCCTGAGTCAGCCCCACTGGTTCTGAGTCAGCTCCACTGGTTCTGAGTCAGCTCCACTGGTTCTGAGTCAGCCCCACTGGTTCTGAGTCAGCTCCACTGGTTCTGAGTCAGCTCCACTGGTTCTGAGTCAGCCCCACTGGTTCTGAGTCAGCTCCACTGGTCCTGAGTCAGCCCCACTGGTCCTGAGTCAGCTCCACTGGTTCTGAGTCAGCTCCACTGGTCCTGAGTCAGCTCCACTGGTTCTGAGTCAGCTCCACTGGTCCTGAGTCAGCCCCACTGGTTCTGAGTCAGCTCCACTAGTTCTGAGTCAGCCCCACTGGTTCTGAGTCAGCTCCACTGGTCCTGAGTCAGCTCCACTGGTTCTGAGTCAGCTCCAGTGGTTCTGAGTCAGCCCCACTGGTTCTGAGTCAGCCCCACTGGTTCTGAGTCAGCTCCACTGGTCCTGAGTCAGCTCCACTGGTTCTGAGTCAGCTCCAGTGGTCCCAGTCAGCTCCACTGGTTCTGATCAAGGTCCGCTCCACTGGTCCAGGTCAGCTCCAGTGGTCCCAGTCAGCTCCACTGGTTCTGAGTCAGCTCCACTGGTTCTGATCCAGGTCAGCTCCACTGGTCCAGGTCAGCTCCAGTGGTCCTGGTCAGCTCCACTGGTTCTGGTCAGCTCCACTGGTTCTGGCCCATGTGGGGCCCGGCAGGTTCTGAAAGCAGGCACTGGTTCTGCTGTCCTGAGCCTCGGTTCTTAGCATCGATGAGCAGGAGTGGGGACTGGGAGTAATGGGATACGATGTTGCTCACTGAGGGGAACGACTGCAAACAGAACACCTGTTAGTACACAGTTAATCTAGGGGCTTTTATTTTGAAAAACAAGTCTCGCCCTGAGTTCTCTATTAGGATACAGTTCCTCCATTGGGGCTTTTATTTTGAAAAACAAACTTCACCCTGATATTCCTGAAAGTAAACAGTTACTTTGTGGGGCTTTTATTTTGAAAATCAAGCCTAGTTGTAATCTTCCTGAGAGTGTTCAGTTACTTTCTGCAGCTTTTCTTCACCCTGATATTCCTGGTAGTCTACATTTACTTTCTGGGGCTTTTATTTTGAAAAACAGGTCTCGTCCTGAGCTTTCTATAAGGATACAGTTAATCTATTGGGGGTTTTATTTTGAAAATCAAGTCTCGGCCTGAGCTTTCTATAATGGATACAGTTAATCTATTGGGGGTTTTATTTTGAAAAACAAGTCTCGTCCTGAGCTTTCTATAAGGATAAAGTTACTCTAGGGGCTTTTATTTTGAAAATCAAGTCTCGACCTGAGCTTTCTATAAGGATACAGTTAATCTATTGGGGGTTTTATTTTGAAAATCAAGTCTCGGCCTGAGCTTTCTATAAGGATACAGTTAATCTATTGGGGGTTTTATTTTGAAAAACAAGTCTCGTCCTGAGCTTTCTATAAGGATAAAGTTACTCTAGGGGCTTTTATTTTGAAAATCAAGTCTCGCCCTGAGCTTTCTATAAGGATACAGTTAATCTATTGGGGCTTTTATTTTGAAAATCAAGTCTCGCCCTGAGCTTTCTATAAGGATAAAGTTACTCTAGGGGCTTTTATTTTGAAAATCAAGTCTTGTCCTGAGCTTTCTATCAGGATACAGTTACTCTCTGGGGCTTTTATTTTGAAAAACAAGTCTCGCCTTGAGCTTCGTGTTAGTAAACAGTTACTTTCTGGGGCTTTTATTTTGAAAAACAAGTCTCGTCCTGAGCTTTCTATAAGGTTACAATTAGTGTAAGGGCTTTTACTTTGAAAAACAAACATCGACCTAATCTTCCTGGAAGTATACAGTTACTTTCTGGTGCTTTTACTTTGAAAAATAAGCATCATCCAGAGCTTCCAGTATACAGTCAATCTATGATGGTTTGTTTACCTGCCCCCATCTTGTCTACCTGCCCCCCCTCTTGTTTACCCCCCCCCAGCTCTTGTTTACCTCTTTGACTTTGAGCCCTGTTCCCAGCAGGAAGTTCCCCGCCTGCTCTCTGATCTGAATGTTGAAAACTTTCTGCTGGAACAAAACCATCAGAGTGAACGGCTGCTGAGCCAACTGCCGAGTGCTGTCTCTGACCAGGAAGGCTCCGTCCTACACATACACACACACGCATATACACACACACACACACACACACACCACACACACACACACACACACACACGCATATACACACACACACAGACACACACACACACGCATACACACACACACACACACACACACACACACACACACACAGACACACGCACGCACACACACACGCATACACACACACACACACACACACACACACGCATATACACACACACACACACACACAATTATGATTATGGAAATAGAGAACCTATGAAACTTTAAATGACTGATATTGTTGTTGCTGTTTACCTTGTTGACTTGTTGCAGACTCCCCTCCGCCTGACCTCGGGTCACTCTCCCCACGTACCAGCTGGGGTCCAGGTCCTGCACACAGTGAACATCATATCATATATACATCAATATCTCTCTCTATATATATATATAAACATTATAATTATAATTGGTTAAACAACCGATACAACAGCTCCCCCTGTAGTACAGTATAAGTACTACACAAATAAAAGACTGCAAAATTATAATAATAATAAGTGTTTTAATTATTTTCACAACTATTTGTTGATTTTTTTCTGCCAGCAAAAAATAGAATATTTATAAATTATTAGGTTCATAAATAAATGTTGTTAATGTTTTGTTAATCAGTTAATTAATGTTTGTTAATCAGTTATATATGAATGTTTAATGTTAATGTTTTCTTGTGCGAAAGAAACTTCTTGTTTTGCCACCTTCATGAGGACCAATAGTTTTATATTGCATTACAAGGACGTCAAACGACTGTCTCACTGTACAGGTCTAATTTAAGAAAAGTGTGTGTGTGTGTGTGTTTTATTACCTGTACAGGTGCTGCTGTAGGTGGCGTAGGACGAAACGATTGTCTGTCAGATCCTCCGAAGCCTTCACACATACACAAACACAGACACACGCACGCACGCACGCACACACACACACACACACACACAGTTGGTCAGTTTTGTGATGTTTCTCCTGTTCGAGGAGAAAGGTCGCCCTCTAGTGTTCACACTGGGTCAGCACAGTATTTATTCATAATTACAATATTAAATCGTTATTTAAAGTTACGTACAGGTTAATTATATACTGATGATTGTGCATTAAGTTGCGTAAGGGAACAAGCTGGATTAAGGAGGATGTGGATAACACAAATAAACTAATATAAATGATGCAAAAATAGAGGTGATTTTATATAAAGCTGAATAACTTTAGTATAATTATTATAACTGACTATACATATAATTACTTAAATGATGAAACTAAAACAAGCATTTAAATTAAGATTGCAGAATTAAAAGAAAACACCATTAAAATATAAAGAGGGGGTTGTGGGGAAATAAAACTTTGTTAAACAATTGACAGAATTAAAATAAGATGTAAATGTTTATTAATACAATGTGTTGTTTCCTCACCAGGTTGCAGTTTGTGGGGCAGAGAGCCGGCCGAGGGAAGGCTGGGAGGAAGGCTGGGAGGAAACACAACACACACATCATGTCTTCATAAATAGGAATGGAGAAATGTTGTAATTAAATTCACCTTTCTGCAGGTGTTCCATGAGATTCTGTTTGCAATAGTTTTGATTTTGAAAGCATTATTTTAATCTAGTCTTAGTCCTGCGTCAAATGCCCTTCTGAGTTTTTATTATATTAATACATTTTTGTTGACTTGATGTCTAATAATAATACAAAATAGTAGTAACTTGGATTTATATAGCGCCTTTCAAGAAACCCCAGGACGCTAATAACTTAAAGGTGCACTTTTGTATGTCTGCTCTACATCACCACGTGTCCCCGCTGTGTCCCCGCTGTGTCCCCGGTGTGTCCCCGGTGTGTCCCCGGTGTGTCCCCGCTGTGTCCCCGGTGTGTCCCCGCTGTGTCCCCGGTGTGTCCCCGGTGTGTGCCCCCGGTGTGTCCCCGCTGTGTCCCCGCTGTGTTTCCCCGCTGTGCGTCCCCGGTGTGTCCCCGGTGTGTCCCCTGTGTGTCGGGGAACTCACGCAGCGTCAGGAAATAAACCCTCTCTCTTTTCCTCCGTACCCAAATCTCTAAAAACGGGGAACAACGGAGCTGATCCAGATTTGCGTCCGATATGACGTAATATCTGAAATGTGGACCCACGGCCCAATCAGAAACGTTGCTATCAGAAACAATGCCCGACTGTTTTGGACGTAATATGGTCTGTGTTTACATTAGCATCGCTAACACTCAGAGCTAACCTGTACTGGAGAGCATGTGTGTGAAGAAGCAGGAAGTAAAAAGGAACTCACCTTGTGGTATAACCGGCAAGAGAGAAAGCCTTTGAGCTCCAAACTGTTTCAGAGAGAATCCTTGATAATCCATGATATGGCGTTTCATCACGGCAGCATTTAGTTTAGACAGTAGCTGCCGGGTCCCGCATGAGCTCAGACCCTCCTCTTTAAAGCTTTATACCCAAATCAGCTCTTTAGAAACAGGAAGTGAAATAGAGGGATATGAGGCATGGCTAGAATGATCTGTTTGGTGTTTTGAGCAAAACACTTCATAGACATGTTTTTTAAATATTTTTATTAGGGCTGTCAATTTAACGCGTTAACGCAAAAAAAAATGAACGCCACTAATTATTTTAACGCGATTAACGCATGTGTATTTTTTTTCCTCGGCCGCCCCGTAGTTTCAGAGCGCATCGAGTTTAAAATACCATGTACAAGCTGATGCTGGCAGCCCCGCTCCTGTCGCCCGCTTGTGGCAGACCACACTTCCACGCTCACCGGCAGGCACCGACTGGCTACCGGGAGGGTGTGTGTATGTGTGGCTCGAGCGAGCGAGAGAGAGACCTTACGTGCATTGTTGTTGTTAGCATCTGGTGCTAGCTAGCTGCGCTAACGGATATACGGAGCTGTTTAAATGAAAACAGAGGAGCGACATTTCGCCACAACTGCGCCGAGCACTTGACTTTATGCAGGAAGCCAGACAGTGGGACATTGTACGAAAAGTCAGCACACTCAGCATGGATAGTGCGCAACATGATTGCAGCGTCCAGGTAGCTCCCGTTCGAGCAAATGCCTTGAGTTGCACATAGCTCCAACGATCACACACACACACACACACACACACACACACACACACACACACACACACACACACCACACACACACACACACACACACACACACACACACACCATTTGTATTGTATTATTGAATGAGAGAGGTTCCAGGTTGTTGTGTTTAATATTCATGAGCACTCATATGTTGATAAGAGTATTAAAAACTTGAAAAATATTCCTCTAAGGTACATTTAGAACAGATAAAAAATGTGCGATTAATTTGCGATTAATCGCGATTAACTATTTTAATCGACTGACAGCCCTAATTTTTATATATCTATCTATGCTATTGCCTAGAAATAGCATGATAGGTGACCTTTAAGTTTAATTTAATAATAAGTAAAAAAACGGTTTATATTGATTATATTTCTGTTTCTGTTGTCATTGTTATCTTCAGTTAGAAAAATGATCCAAAGATATCATTGAGAAATAAAAATATTGATTGTCAGAAATACAAATATTTAGCATGAGTCATTATTTTGTATTTATTTAATCATCTCAAACAAAGAGGAGAAGAAGAAGACGACTAAACCTGGCATTTAGAAAATAGAAGTTTAAAAACATCACATTTCATTGGACGTGGTTTCTCAGGGTATATGCAGGAATCCTGAAGTCAGATGGAAAACCTTTTAAGAACTTTTTTAAGACCCTTTCCATACATTTTAAGACCTCATCTCCACTTTGAGTTTTTAACCGGTTACCTTGGCGACACACTTTACCTCACATTGACTATATACAGTATTGATTGTGCTTCCTCCTTATCTTCCAACCATTTGGAAGCAGACTTGCATTTCCCCATAACGATGTTGTTTAACAACCGGCGTAGACGGACCTCCGCGCACTATCAAGCAGTGAGCGTGCGATGTCCTGTTCAGACTACGCACCTACGCAATGATTACATTCAGGCAGACTGTAGAACACAACCTCTTTGGACAATTTATATACTTATTGAAAACAAGCTACAAAATGTAATACCTTGGAAAATGCCGTTTAATACTTTTTAATAGCCTTCATTTTCGCTAAATTGATTTATCAACTTGTAATACTTTTTAAGACCCCGCGGACACCCTGTTTCAAGTTATACAGTCACATTATGGGGCTTTTATTTTGAAAAATAAACCTCTCCCTGAGCTTCCTGTTAGGATACCGTCACTCTATGGGTACTGACAGGAAGTAAATTACTTAAAGACGTCTCACCTGTCTCCTTGGCGAGAGGGGCGTCCGGGGCGGGGGGGCTGACTCTTATTTTGAAGGGGAAAGGTGTTATTTTTAGGAGCTAGAAGACAGAAGGGTTTTAAGAATTACTCCGATAGGTCAGGATATGCTTTTGTTTATGATGTTTATGATGAATACAAATCTCACCTTCATTGTAGGTTTGCTGATAAAAGAGAAGAGAAGAAGAAGTTCAAATGTCACTCAGGACAAACTAACCTTCAAAATAAAAGTTTCAAACAGAGACTTACCTCTCTCCTCGCCTCAAACCTGTCGAACCACCAAAAAAAGCTTGTGTTAACCAAATACCTGATTTCAGACTAACAACAAAAACACTCAGAAACCATTGAAGAGAGACCAGGGGACAGGAAGTGAGGAAATGCTGACTCATGTCAGGGTTCAGGACTCATAATGCTAACTCAGGGTTCAGGACTCATAATGCTGACTCAGGTCAGGGTTCAGGACTCATAATGCTGACTCAGGTCAGGGTTCAGGACTCATAATGCTGACTCATGTCAGGACTCATAATGCTGACTCATGTCAGGGGTCAGGACTCATAATGCTGACTCATGTCAGGACTCATAATGCTGACTCATGTCAGGACTCATAATGCTGACTCATGTCAGGGGTCAGGACTCATAATGCTGACTCATGTCAGGACTCATAATGCTGACTCATGTCAGGGTTCAGGGCTCATAATGCTGACTCAGGGTTCAGGACTCATAATGCTGACTCATGTCAGGGTGCAGGACTCATAATGCTGACTCATGTCAGGGGTCAGGACTCATAATGCTGACTCATGTCAGGACTCTAATTGCTGACTCATGTCAGGGGTCAGGACTCATAATGCTGACTCATGTCAGACACTTCATAATGCTGATCTGTCAGTAATATACTGCGACTCCTGTCAGGGTCAGGACTCATAATGCTGAATCAAGTCAGACTCATAATGCTGACTCATGTCAGGACTCATAATGCTGACTCATGTCAGGACTCATAATGCTGACTCAGGTCAGGGTTCAGGGCTCATAATGCTGACTCAGGGTTCAGGACTCATAATGCTGACTCAGGGTTCAGGACTCATAATGCTGACTCATGTTTCAGGACTCATAATGCTGACTCGTGTTTTAGGACTCATAATGCTGACTCATGTTTCAGGACTCATAATGCTGACTCGTGTTTTAGGACTCATAATGCTGACTCATGTTTCAGGACTCATAATGCTGACTCATGTCAGGGTTTAGGACTCATAGTGCTGACTCATGTCAGGGTTCAGGACTCATAATGCTGACTCATGTCAGGGTTCAGGACTCATAATGCTGACTCATGTCAGGGTTCAGGACTCATAGTGCTGACTCATGTCAGGACTCATAATGCTGACTCATGTCAGGGTTCAGGACTCATAATGCTGACTCATGTCAGGGGTCAGGACTCATAATGCTGACTCATGTCAGGGTTCAGGACTCATAATGCTGACTCATGTCAGGACTCATAATGCTGACTCATGTCAGGGGTCAGGACTCATAATGCTGACTCATGTCAGGGTTCAGGACTCATAATGCTGACTCAGGGTTCAGGACTCATAATGCTGACTCATGTCAGGGTTTAGGACTCATAATGCTGACTCATGTCAGGGTTCAGGACTCATAGTGCTGACTCATGTCAGGACTCATAATGCTGACTCATGTCAGGGTTCAGGACTCATAGTGCTGACTCATGTCAGGACTCATAATTTTGACTCATGTCAGGGTTTAGGACTCATTCCTCTGGTGGATATGTCTGAAAGCTTTAATATCTGACGTTGACCTGGTGGCAGCCGGTCTGGCGGAGGAGTCGCTCCGGCTGACGGAGGTCGGGGTCGGGGTCGGGGGAAGAGTTGCAGGTTTGTTCCAGACCGGAGGATCGTCTGGCTGAGGCCCTGAACAGAGAAGATTAAAGATAACATTCCTTCACTTTAAACAATAACACACTCATTCCCTCCTCTGTGGACGAGCACTCGATGATGCACTGCTGATGCTGTTTGATCAAATACTGTGGAACAGGATTTAAACTCATGCAATACAGTCATCTTCATAAAACTAGATAGTTTAAGTCTATTAATATTTCCCTTTGTTTGAAAAACTATATCCACAATACTTTCATTCTCAAAATATATTTGATATAATAAAGAGGGTTTAAATGCATTAAAAACAATGTCATCTGCGTAACATCGTTATAAAACATCGTTATAAAACAGCGTTTCCACCAGTTTATCTATATAAGAGGACCGCACACAGAGCCCTGTGGGGCCCCACTACTCACTCCTGTAGGATATAATGGAGAGAACATCTACTTACCTCCAAGAGTTAGCGCCCGGCTGTAGGAAGCAAAGAAGCACAATTAGAATTAAAAAATACTAAATATAAAGTACGTGGAGTACTCCTTTGTTTACTCCCAAAACGTAGTGACATCACTAGGGAACACTCGCTCTCCTATTGGCTAGCGCTCCAACACATTGTACGAGATAGACTGAATCTGTCTGCACGATATGGCCGCTCTAAATAAAGCTTATTTATAAAGAAAACGTCACCTTTTCCACTGTGTTGCGATGAGGTCCTGTGGAGACGAGAAACACAAATGTAAACGACATGATTGACACCAAAATAACTACTTACTAAAAATCAATACCATCTTACATTGAGTGATATTTTTATATTTAGAATGGTACATTTCTGTGTTTAAAAACAATCAAGTATCCCTGATTGGCTCTTGCTGTGTGATGTCCCGCCCACCTCCAGAGCAGCCCTGTAACGACTACTCTCCAACCGACCCCTTAATTTAATTCAATTCAATACTTATGTTGTCCTTTGAAACCAAAGTAAGTAAATGTGCGGTATTTAAAAACAGAAGCACTTTGAAGCTTTACCTCTGATGGGGGACGGGTTCGGTCCCGAGTCTCGACCTGGTTTGTTCACACGAAGAATCGGCGGGGGCCCCGGAGGAACTGAACACAACAGGAGGGAAAAGACTCCATTAAGAGTTATTCTGAATAATATTTAACAGCTCCTGTTACGCCATGTTACACAAAACCACCCGAACAAGAGGAAAAAACATCACAAAAAGGCACAAAAATATCACAGAGACATAAAGTCTTGAGAAATAGAAACAAAACAATCACAAAGTGTCCACCAGGGGGCGCAAAACAACTACAGATAGATGTAGGAAGAGCAAAGAGGCAGCTGTTCAAAGTCTTAGAATAGATGCACAATGACTTAAAACTGAAGACACGCAAAACTATTACACGGAACAAAATGACAAATAACGAATGAACACAAACACACTCCTATATGGGCTGAAATCAGCAAAAGAAGACGCATTCGTTTACAAAATAAATGCTAAATAATCACAAAAACACGATGTCACTTGATACTAATGAAGAAAAGCTGAGTAGAGTAAATGTATTAAAAATATAAACTCACATTTTCTCCCCCCGCCGCGAGGGGAGGGGTCTCTTCTGGAGGAGTGCTCACCTGACTACACACACACACACACACACACACACACACACACACACACACACACACACACACACACACACACACCTTTACATCAAAGTATATCTGAGGAGTTTAAAATGTTTTAAATTATTCTTTAAATTGAGACTCACCGGTACGGAGAGGCTGGGGGCGGGGGGGCGGGGACACACAGCAGGGGGGTGGCCTACACACACACACACACACACACACACACACACACACACACAGAGATATTTAGCTCACGTTATACTTAAAGCAGGTCTATTGGCTGAAGCCCCCCCTGCTGGCCACAAAGTGAAACACATTAGAAATATATTTTTACATAAAGAAAAACGTAGCCCGTAGACGGGTTACGTTTTCTGTGAAATAAACGTTAGATACATCATTTTATATTCCAGGTGTTACCGATGCATTATGTGTTAAACCCTGTATTAAAGGTCTTACCGATGTATACCCCGTCCCCCAGCGGGCGGGGTGGCCCCAGTTTGAGCGCCATGTCCTCCGGGGGCTCGGAGGGGGGGGGCTCGTAGTCGTTGTTATCGTCGTCCATCGGGGACTCGTAGTCGCTGCCCCCCCCGTCCCCCCCGCTGTCCGGGTCCTCGTAGTCATCGTCCAACTCTTCCTCCGACTGGAAGTATATAGATATATATATTACAAAAACACGCTGGTCACAAAAAACCTGAAAAATAAAGAATATTTTTCAGGTTGAATTTCCATCAAAAGAGAGAAAAATTAAAATAAGACGTACAAACTCGTCGGCACCCCAACCCTGAACCTCTGCCGCTGCTTCTGCTGGGGAGAACAGGTGATAAGTATAAATATATTTATATAAAATACATTTCAAACCAAACATGAGAAGGTTAATGATGAAGTTAACGTCAGACCTGGTTCGTGATATCTGGTCGGTCTGCGATGGAAATAAATACAGTAGTTATAAATATCATTAAACAATATAACAGATATTTAAAGGTGCTTTATTTGTTATTGTTTTATTATTTACAATTTAAATGTATTATTATTTTTGTATTTGTGTTAATGTTGTAGTTTTATATGAAATATATAAAAGCCTCACTTTATCCCGAACAGGCTCCTCTTCTCCTCCTTCTTGCTGATCTGAGAGCTGATCTTAGTGATCATCCTGAGAACACACAGGGTTTAAATAAAGGTTATTCAAATTCAATCAGCACTTCCACATCGCCGTCGTATCAGAGACAGAAGAACGAGATAAAAACATGACGCGTTTCTCCTGAAGGTTTTCCCTTCGGCGGGTCTTTTTTTGTTTTCACGACACTGTGTCTCAGGGGATCTTAATGTTTAAAAACCTATTAATGTGTTTTACCAGATTAACGGGAATAATCTCAGCTAACTGACGATACAAACCATTTTGACCAAAACACAAGTCTCATAAGAAGTATCTAAATGACCCCTGAGCGAAAAAATGCTAATGCATTTGGCACAGAACTCAAGATAAAGATACCCTTATTACTTATCGTAGCTGCACATACAAGATATCCGATTAAAGCTGAGACTCCACAGATTATATAGTTATTAGTATCATCACTGAGCGATCAGAACTCGTGACAGGGGAAGCAAACACAGACATCACAACACGTAGCTTTACGGAGCAAAAACGGGAGATCGTCTCACCGTAGCTGTTGTTCTGATCAAAAGTCGTGTTCAATGGCATTAAAACGAGAAAACACGCGGCTGAGGGTTCATCCATAGGTTCATTTAATGTGTCTGTCAAAAAGTTATTTATAATCCATAATTCCATTTATATGTAAAAATCGGAGAGTAAAAGTTAGCTGCTAATGGTAGCCATGTTTTGTTTTTTTGGACGGACACTATAATTTACTATGTTCAATCTGAATTTACTTTAAAATAAAAACATCTATATTGATTCTGACACTTCTACATCCAACTCACAGATGTAACCTTGCTTTGAGAAAAAAGATTATTAATTTAACCCTTTTAGAAGATATGGTCATTTGTGCTGGGAATGTCATTTTCTGAAAAACAGGCTCAGGGCTTAACAGGTGGTCCCCCATGATGCCCCTTTCACACCAACGCGGTTCCAGGGCCGGCTCGGAGCTGGAGCCTGATGGTAAGCACCGGTTTGTCCTGTTCACACTGCAGCGGAGCCGCCTCTAAGCTCCGAAACCGGTTCTTACCAAGCTCCAACATTTTTAAAAGTGACGCAACCACACACTTATAAAAAACACACACTTTATAAAGTCAAGCAACACTAACCAGGCTTCGTGTGATTCTGTTTATTTGTGCCTTACTTTGACCATCCGTTCGCTGCCATTGATCATTGTGGAGAGCAGGCGGACGTGTTGTTTTGTATTATAGCAGCTATCGGGAATCAATGCATGGGCTGCACAGGTTGAGTCATAATGGAAAATACGCCTGTAAAATGTGCCTGTAGAAAACGGCTCATGCCACAATAGGATAGCACCAAGTAGTCAAGATAGTCCGTTTAGCTTCGGTTGCTATGCCAACATCACCCATTTTATACCAGAGAAACTTTCATAACAGCGTTGTGAAGCCAAACAGCGTCAATTCAGACTGACACACATTCACTTAAGGGGGGGGGGGGGGGTTAGGGTTAGTTGTTGATGTAGAAGAGACATGAAGAAGAGGGGACACATGTTGATGTAGAAGAGACATGAAGAAGAGGGGACACATGTTGATGCAGAAGAGACATGAAGAAGAGGGGACACATGTTGATGTAGAAGAGACATGAAGAAGAGGGGACACATGTTGATGTAGAAGAGACATGAAGAAGAGGGGACACATGTTGATGAAGAAGAGACATGAAGAAGAGAGGACACATGATGATGCAGAAGAGACATGAAGAAGAGGGGACACATGTTGATGTAGAAGAGACATGGAGAAGAGGGGACACATGTTGATGTAGAAGAGACATGAAGAAGAGGGGACACATGTTGATGTAGAAGAGACATGAAGAAGAGGGGACACATGTGATGAGAAGAGACATGAGAAGAGGGGACACATGTTGATGTAGAAGAGACATGAAGAAGAGGGGACACATGTTGATGTAGAAGAGACATGAAGAAGAGGGGACACATGTTGATGAAGAAGACATGAAGAAGAGAGGACACATGATGGAAGAGACATGAAGAAGAGGGGACACATGTTGATGTAGAAGAGACATGAAGAAGAGGGACACATGTTGATGTAGAAGAGACATGAAGAAGAGGGGACACATGTTGATGAAGAAGAGACATGAAGAAGAGGGGACACATGTTGATGTAGAAGAGACATGAGAAGAGGGGACACATGTTGATGTAGAAGAGACATGAAGAAGAGGGACACATGTTGATGTAGAAGAGACATGAAGAAGAGGGGACACATGTTGATGAGAAGAGACATGAAGAAGAGGGGACACATGTTGATGTAGAAGAGTCATGAAGAAGAGACATGAAGAAGAGGGGACACATGTTGATGAGAAGAGACATGAAGAAGAGGGGACACATGTTGATGAGAAGAGACATGAAGAAGAATGGACACATGTTGATGTAGAAGACATGGAGAAGAGGGGACACATGTTGATGTAGAGAGACATGAAGAAGAGGGGACACATGTTGATGAGAAGAGACATGAAGAAGAGGGGACACATGTGATGTAGAAGAGACATGAAGAAGAGGGGACACATGTTGATGTAGAAGAGACATGAAGAAGAGGACACATGTTGATGTAGAAGAGACATGAAGAAGAGGGGACACATGTTGATGTAGAAGAGACATGGAAGAAGAGGGGACACATGTTGATGTAGAAGAGACATGAAGAAGAGGGGACACATGTTGATGTAGAAGAGACATGGAGAAGAGGGACAACATGTTGATGTAGAAGAGACATGAAGAAGAGGGGACACATTTGATGAAGAAGAGACATGAAGAAGAGGGGACAACATGTTTGATGAAGAGAGACATGAAGAAGAGGGGACACATGTTGATGTAGAAGAGACATGAAGAGAGGGGACACATGTTGATGTAGAAGAGACATGAAGAAGAGGGGGACACATGTTGATGTAGAGAGACATGAAGAAGAGGGGACACATGTTGATGTGAAGAGACATGAAGAAGAGGGGACACATGTTGATGTAGAAAGGACATGAAGAAGAGGGGACACATGTTGATGAAAGAAGAGACATGAAGAAGAGGGGGACACATGTTGATGAAGAAGAGACATGAAGAAGAGGGGACACATGTTGATGAAGAAGAGACATGAAGAAGAGGGGACACATGTTGATGTAGAAGAGACATGAAGAAGAGGGGACACTGTGATGTAGAAGAGACCATGAAGAGAGGGGACACATGTTGTATGTAGAAGAGACATGAAGAAGAGAGGACACATGATGATGCAGAAGAGACATGAAGAAGAGGGGACACATGTTGAATGTAGAAGAGACATGAGGAAGAGGGGACCATGTTTATGTAGAAGAGACATGAAGAAGAGGGGGACACATGTTGATGTAGAAGAGACATGAAGAAGACGGGGACCATGTTGATGTAGAAGAGACATGAAGAAGAGGGGACACATGTTGATGAAGAAGAGACATGAAGAAGAGGGGACACATGTTGATGTAGAAGAGACATGAAGAAGAGGGGACACATGTTGATGTAGAAGAGACATGAAGAAGAGGGGACACATGTTGATGTAGAAGAGACATGAAGAAGAGAGGACACATGATGATGCAGAAGAGACATGAAGAAGAGGGGACACATGTTGATGTAGAACAGACATGAGGAAGAGGGGACACATGTTGATGTAGAAGAGACATGAAAGAAGAGGGGGACACATGTTGATGTAGAAGAGACATGAAGAAGAGGGGACACATGTTGATGTAGAAGAGACATGAAGAAGAGGGGACACATGTTGATGTAGAAGAGACATGAAGAAGAGGGGACAGATGTTGATGTAGAAGAGACATGAAGAAGAGGGGACACATGTTGATGTAGAAGAGACATGAAGAGAGGGGACAGATGTTGATGTAGAAGAGACATGGAGAAGAGGGGACACATGTTGATGTAGGAGAGACATGAAGAAGAGGGGACAGATGTTGATGTAGAAGAGACATGAAGAAGAGGGGACACATGTTGATGTAGAAGAGACATGAAGAAGAGGGGACACATGTTGATGTAGGAGAGACATGAAGAAGAGGGGACAGATGTTTGATGTAGAAGAGACATGAAAGAGGGGACACATGTTGATGTAGAAGAGACATGAAGAAGAGGGGACACATGTTGATGTAGAAGAGACATGAAGAAGAGGGGACACATGTTATGTAGGAGAGGAAAACATGTTGATGTAGAAGACATGAAAGAGGGGACACATGTTGATGTAGAAGAGACATGAAGAAGAGGGGACACATGTTTGATGTAGGAAGAGACATGAAGAAGAGGGGACAGATGTTGATGTAAAGAGACATGAAGAAGAGGGGACACATGTTGATGTAGAAGAGACATGAAGAAGAGGGGACACATGGTGATGAAGAAGAGACATGAAGAAGGGGACACATGTTGATGTAGGAGAGACATGAAGAAGAGGGGGACAGATGTTGATGTAGAAGAGACATGAAGAAGAGGGACACATATTGATGTAGAAGAACATGAGGAACACAATGTTGATGTAAATAAGAAGACATGATGGAAGAGGG